AACCCCGGGAAAGAGCCTCCGGTACGCATTGGATAGGAGGTTGGGTGGGCAACGTGGAGAAGAAAAAATTCTTGACCCTACCGGGACTTGAACTCCGACCCATCGGTCGTCCAGCCTGTAGCCAGTCGCTATACCGACTATGCTGTCGCGGCTCCTCGAGTACTCTGTACAACTTCCCTCCCCCCCAGCCCCAGGTGAAGACTTAGAAAGTACCGTAATAGGCCGCAAGTCTTTTTTCCCAATCTGTTGTTCACGTTGTCGTATCTCATCGGACATTACAGAGACTCAACAGGTGATACCTTGTTAGGAATATCTGAATAATGGACCCTTCTCATACTTCTGTCGGGCCATATGTGGGGTCAACAGTGAAGTCATAACTTAGGAACAGAATTGTAGTAATGTATTGATTAACCAAGCCCATTGCACACCTCAGGAGTTGTGTAAGATGAATATCAACTATTGATGGGATGACCGTTGACAGAAGAAAACCGACATACACAGGGTAAAATCTGTGTCAGCGCTAATTTGTGTGTCACAAATACCACATATGCCACATTAAACCTGAAAGCCTGACACTGAAATGGACTGTGCTATCCATAGTAGCAGGACTAAAAGTATTCCATTTGTTGCAGTTCTTTTACAAGAAAGTTTTGTTTTTATCCTAGCAGGGTTCAACCACAGCACCTCTGTCAGTTGCTTCATTAATTTGATCAAACAGCTAACAAACTCTATATACATACACAGTTCACGCAACATATGCACAGGTTGTGTGCCGTTTATCAGAACATCCCACCATTTTACTGGGTTTTTGGACTTTTTCAGTCATCCGGAATTCTAAGAAATAGAAAACACGACATTTCGGAAACTGCATCTGTTTCCGAAACGTTGAGTTTTATATTTTCTAGAATTCTGGAGATAGAAAAAATCCAAAAACCCGGTAATTCTGTGTGTCATCCACCATCGTCAGAACCCTTTAGAATCTGTCCCACCAAATGCTAGTTACTAGATATACAGTGAAAATCGAAATGTCCCAGGTGGTTAACTGACATGGAAATGAACTGGGAATCTTGGTTTGATTCAGCTCTTTAGATGCTTGAGTTAAGGTATGGATTTTAGTACATCTAAATCAGCATATCACCTCTGCTCTTTATGTCGTTGGCCTCTCAGAATTCGTGAAAATGTGAAAAGAAGCATTTAAAAATCAGAACTCCGTACATAATTTTCATTCCTTTTTGTGCTTCATGCTTCTGACTTTGTTTACCTTCTAACCCAGTTTATTCATTGTAGCAAACACCAGATCCGTTGCATGTCATGTTTGTTGGATGGATGACAACTTAAAGGTGCTGTATGACCTGCTGCGGTTGTTTAGCACTGAATGGTATGAAACGTTGATCATATTCGCTGAAGTTGAAAGGATTCGGGAGAAAGTGATCATGGCCTGTTGTGAGGTGGTACTGTTCTGGAATTTGCCTTGAGGGACTGAGGAAACCAACAGAAGATCTCCATCAGGATAATTGGTGTCCCAGCTGACATTAAAACTGGCACTGCTCGAATAAGAAACAGAAACATTACTACCTGAGACCACTTTGTTTTTATAAAGATTTTGTTGTTTCTTGATCTTTTGGCCTAGTACCACCAGGGGGTTGTTACTGCCAGTTTGGATTGTTGGAATACATGGCCAAGTGTGTACGTGGGCCGCACCATAGGTCAAGCGGTTAGTCACTGGCTTCCCACCGCGGCGGCCTGGGTTCGATCCCGGGGTCTGGTCAAGTGGGATTTATGGTGGACAAAGTGGCGCTGGGGCGGGTTTTCTCAGAGTACTTCGGTTTCCCCTGCCAATCTTCATTCTGCCAAATTCTCCATCATCATAATCACCCAGGGCAGGGTACAATTGGCCATACCAAGTTGACCCAGTTGGACTCCACCCCCCACTAAGCGAAAAAAAGTCTGTACACGTGTGGCTATAGAAGCCAGGAAATGCATAGTAAGATCATTTGTATATATAATGTTTGGGCGTAACTTTTGAGGATTTTGGTCTCTGCAGTGCATCTGAACTTGTGTTTCTCATAATCCCCAGTTTATCAAACAGAAATTTTTTACTGCGTAGCAATCCCCTAGCTGGTCATAAGTAAAAAAGTAAAGCTATCCCTGTAACAGGCCGTGAAGACCCATAGGGTTGTGAGACGTTGAGGGTCCCACATTATCTAGACAGTCGGCTCAAAGATGGCGGTAAGGTTGTCAGCCCTACGTGCCGGCCGCTCTTTACTCCCCAGGAAAATTATTTAGTTAATTCCTGGTACTCATTTCTCTTAGAGGCTGAGTCGACCCCAGGGCCATAATGCGGCCGGAAGGATTAGGTCAATTGAAAAAAAAAAAAACAGTGNAGAACGCTTTAAAATGAGATGTAATCTTCTGAGTTTTATGTTTGTTGTTTATGTTTGCTGAAATTGTAACTTCATTTGATATCTGAAAGGAAATGAGTTTCAGCTCTGATATGCAGTGTTATAACTGTACTTGCATTTCTATCAATTAGAAGGTAAATTCCACAGCGAAATGAATATGAGGGTTCTGTATTGGGCTTTGCATAAGCAGATACATTATATTATTATGTCCCAGAGTAAAAATTCAATGCTCATATTTCCCATATTTTGGGGGAAATTTTTGTTGTTTTTAACATTATCATTTATGTATCTGGTGCTGCTAAGATATGTATGTTCTCTTCTTAATGCTAGTAGCTAACTAACTTCATGAAGCTGAGCCCTTCTTGAGAAGCCACCAGCTGTGTAGCTACTCGAGAACTTCCCAGCAATTTATGGAACCCGAAGATTCATTACCGTGTACACAAGGGCCCTCCACCGGTCCCTGTCCTGAGCCTGATTGATCAGTCCATACCACCTCATCCTATCTATCAAAGATCCATTTTAATATTATCTACCCACATACAGCTTGGCCTTCCAAGCGGTCTCTTTCCGTCTGGCTTTCTCACCAGTATCCTGTATGCATTCCTCTTTCCCCATTCGTGCTGCATACCCTGCCCATCTTATCCTCCTCAACCTGATTGATTATTCTAATTATACTTGGCAAAGAGTACAAGTTATGAAGATCCTCATTATGCAGTTTCCTCCAAAAGTCTACAGGTATGCTAATTAGAATTACATGCCAGATTGGCACAGTCAGTATTGTGACTAGGCTGCTGCCTGGACAAGCTAGGAATCAGGGATTCAATTTCAGGCAGAGGTAAGAGATTTTTCTCTTCTCCACACCATCCAGTCTGGTTCTGGGGCCTACTCAGCCTCCTGTCCAGTGGATACCATGAATTCTTTCCCTGGTGGTAAAGTAGCAGGGCACGATACTGTCCACCCACTTCCGTCTAGTACCTCAATTAAGGATGTGTGAAGCTATATTCCCATGCCACATCTGTGTTCCTCGCATGATGTGTAATTAAGTACAGTGAGAACTTCACATTGTTTAATCAGAAGAATAGGTTTGTGTTATGTAGCAGAACAGTTCAGAGGTTGTACGATGGTGTACCCAAAAGAAACTGAACTAATTTTTTGGGGGGGCAGAGCTTTTGTAGTACCGCGTTTTGCCGCTGTGAGCGCATAGAGCTAACATTCCTGAGTCGATACGCTGACTANCTTATCAAAATGTTATAAAGACTGCAGACTCTTTTAATAACTAGATGCTGATAGTACTTGAAATTGTGCTGTTTGAATGCTTACACACATTTAGTTGAATATCTGAGTTAAGTTTCTTGATAATCTAGCATGGAAAGTTCTTTTTGTAATGGTGTACAATTTGGTGACAGTCCTCTGCACACCTTTCTTCACCAGGAAGGACCCCGTATGACGAAACTTGAATGAGCTCTGATTGATATTTTTTTTGTTTCATTTGTTAATTTTTAATGAACTCAGGAATAGTAATTATTTGTGACTGTCAACACGTAAAACATAGATTCAATCCAAACATTCACTTCACTTGAAAATAACCTAACCCAGTATTTGGTAATAGCATTTCTTCCCCTGCAGTAGCTGAACAGCAGAGCCTCATTTATGAGACCAAACAAGTTGGCTAAAGTGGTAATGCTTATGACTTGTATTCAGGAAGTGCTTTGTTCAGTCTCGATGGGAATACTGTTCTGATTGACATTGTCTTCCAGATGGATGCCAGGATAGTGCTTCAAATTAGGCCGTGACTGTTTCTTTCCACATCCCCCCACCCAATTCATCATTATTGTCATTCAGTTCTGTATAATCTGAGCTACTGACAACATCATTAAAAAAAACAATAAAACAAACTGAGAATTGCTGGGATTTTGGACTTTGTCCATCCTCTGGTATTCTGAAAACTGGAGAACATAACAATTTGGAAACTGGATCTGTTTCTATCCTCAGGTGAAGGGGAGACATCTTCAAAACTAAACACACTCTTAGGAGTTCACTCTGGTCTCAGGTATTCATGTAGCTATAGCTGTTATACTGACATGTGTTGTCCAGTGATTGAGGTTAGGTCCTTCTAAGAGATGAGGGCAGAAACAGATACAGTTTCTGAGATGTTGTGCTCTTGTGTTTTTAGAATACCAGAAGATGAACAAAATCCAAAAAGTCCAGTAGTTCTGAATGTTATACACCATCATCAGAAGCCTTTAGAATCTACGAAAACAAACTCATTTGTGGTAGTAGGATGCACCTGTATGCACTTGAAGTTGACGTTAAGGCAGGAATTCCTGAGCTGTTGAATGTCACTTGTCATTACTTGATTAAATTTGTGCATGGAAAATTGTGAGTACTGGCAAGCATAATGTTGTACTAAGCTCAGATTGTGGCTCATAAAACTGAATATTTGAAAACCTGAAACTCAGAAACCAAGGAGCCGTCTTTATAAGGAGGCTGATATCGTGAGCTATATTTCCATTGGTGTATAATGTATGATTTGCAACCCTTCTTCTGTCCATCCTCCCATATTCCTGTTGCTCTTGTAAACTTTACTCAACGACTCAGAGTCTGCAGGAGCTGGCTCAGCAGTCACGGAACCAGCAGTCATCTGGAGGAAGCTGCGTCATCCGCAACCCCAGCACAGTCACTTTGCCACCTACATATGAGGCTCTGATGGGAGCTTCGGCTTCTCATGGAGGAGGGGGTGGAGGCTCAACAGAGGTACCACCACCAACATATGAGGAAGCCATGTTCCTTATAGGCGATGAAAAACTTAGAGTTGTCCTCGAGGAATCCAAATATGGAGCAAGGTTAGTGCCGGAGATATCTGATATACTGAGAACTGATAATGAAGTTTGTAGTTTCTTTTAGCTTCACTAAAATTTGTAATTGTAATTACACTTCTAATTTGTTTTGTAGGAGATCAAAGTTCTGTATATTTTTGTTTAGGTCAGATAAGATGGCTATGAAGTGACCTGATATATACTTGGTTAAGTCTGTATAAACGAAAATTTGAAATGCATAAACTGAAAAGATATTTCAAATTAAAAATGATGTACTTATTTTATAAATTTTGTCTGTAATAATTTTTCATTGATAATTATCAATGAAAAATTATTACAGACAAAATTTATAAAATAAGTACATCATTTTTAATTTGAAATATCTTTTCAGTTTATGCATTTCAAATTTTCGTTTATACAGACTTAACCAAGTATATATCAGGTCACTTCATAGCCATCTTATCTGACCTAAACAAAAATATACAGAACTTTGNATTGGTAAGGGCCAGAACCTGTGGAAAATGGGTAATAGAAGTAGTGATCTTGAATATGCATGATGAAGCCCTTCAGGGTTGGAAATTTGTACAATACTGCATACTTAAAGAAAGTAGCACAAGAGTAGATGAGTATTGCCCAGCTGAGTACACACATTTTCCACAATATTTCTTTACCATTTTTATGTGACATTTGCCCTCATATTCATCAATTGAAAATAAACGTTTAAAAGTCACACAATTAAATGCAAGTGAGTGCTATCTGCAGGCAAGGTTGGAAACTACTTTTACCTCGCATTTAAGGAGGTTATACATAATGTTGTATTTTAGCGTCCTGTTGCACTGATTTTCTTCCACGATATGTATACAGTTGCCGTCTTGTAGTGCACTCAATTTCACCTGTTACTTCACGACATGTTTCGGCAACATAGTGCCATCATCAGGTGCCCTAATTACGCTAATCTACTTCATTGCTTCCCTTTATAAAATTATTTGAAAAGTATTTAAAAAGTGCATATTTGTCAACTATAATAAATTTACACACACTAAAACTTATTAAGATTATTCATCTTATGTGTCATAATTAAAACTTGCGTGTGGTTCTTCTACTATGGGGGTCGTTTTTCCTATATTCTGTGTAAACCCTGTCTTGTGGTGTGTGTTCCCTTCTTAGCTGCTAAGGGAACACACACCACAGGACACTGTTTACACAGAATATAAGAAAAACGACCCCCATAGTGGATGAATCACATGCAAGTTTTAATTATGACACATAAGATGGATAATCTTAACAAGTTTTAGTGTGTGTAAATTTATTGTAGTTGATGAATACGCACTTTTTAAAGAATTATATAAAGGGAAGCAATGAAGTAGATTAGCGTAATTAGGGCACCTGATGATGGCACTATGTTGCCGAAACATGTTGTGAAGTAACAGGTGAAATTGAGTGCACTACAAGACAGCAACTGTATACATATCATGTAAGGAGGTTACATTTATACATGTGGCATGGTAAATTCATAGCGTTGATACCACATCTGAGAAACAATGAAAATTTGTTGCAATTTTCAATTTGCTTTAAATTCTCAGGCACTTGAGCAGGATGGGTACTGATTATGCGCTGTAACTTGTATTTTGGAAGTGCTTTGTTCGAATCTCAGCCAGGGTACTGGATTGGTGGTTTTCTTCGGTCCCTCCAAACAAATTCCAGGACAGTACCTCCCAGTAGATCAGGAGTGCATCCATATACATCCTTTCAGATTTGTTATTTACCAATTGTCCTGCTATTTGATGCTGTGTAGTCTAACATGCAGTCAGCATCATAAGATAAAACACACAGAAGACATGGATTATGCTAGTGTTAGAAATAATAAAATTGTTGAAGATGGAAGTATTTTTTTTTTCGCTCTTCATGTTTAGCTCAGAAGATGAATTAAGTAAAGAGCTACAAGGTGCCACAGCTGTAGCTGAATCTGCATCCCCGAGCCAGCACAAACCATATGAGGTAGACTGAGAAAATGTTACCATTACCTGCAAGACTGAAGATGGTCAGGTCGGCCACCTGGCCAATAAAATATGGCATACGTTGATACTTGCCAGCTTGTGATGTAAAAAAATGTTCAATAATGAGCCTTTGAGGAAATGGTTCCTGCAAACTGTCAGTCAATAATGCAGTGACACATCTCTTCAGTTGGAAGTTCTGTCTACTACATCTGTAAAAACAGCAATATATAAATATGAACTTGTCAAAATAGCCTTGACAGTATCGGATGTTAACTGGAGTTTTTTACATTAGTATAATATACCTTGTTATACACCACAGGTTTGGTTATAGCATTCGCCATGTAATATTTATCACAAAGAAATATATTTTGTTTATATTAAAGGTATAGAAGTTGCTACAATTAGAGACTGAATAAAGTAATGATTAACCTTAACTGTCATGTGATTAAATAACAGTACAGCTATATGTTTACTGGGAGTTTTATAAGGGATTCTAGTGATATCGTAGAGATTCTGTGGTGTAGTGGTTACCACTTCTTTCCTTAATGGTACATACGTTGCACATCTGGTAATATGCATTGCCATACAACACTGCAGGATGTTTCACACACCACATACATATTAAGAATAGAAAGAATGAACATAATAGCAAGAATATTGGTATGAGATGAAATTTGCTGTTTTAAAATAAGTGACTTGGGATTCAGCACTAGTGGATTTCTTCAGTTGAACGAGAATGTTCGTGTAAAATATTGCTTGTGTGAGAATTTACTGCAGTAAGCGTTTCATCATTAGGGATGCAGCTGTTATAGTTTGAAAAACCCACATCTACAAAGAGGCTTACAGTTTTAACAGATTACAGTGACAAATTATGAGGTTTGTTCAAATGAAACCTATTTGGGGATTATGCTAAAGGAAGGAATAGTGGCTGCTAAAAATATCCCCCTTGGGCATCAAGGCAGATATCATACTGATGTACAGCTAGGGATTAGCTCTCTGGATTTGGCCCAACTGAGTAGGTTTTGCAGGTCATTATATTTATTAATGTGTATTTATCATGACACATATTTAGATCTTTGTATGTGTAATGAACAATTTTATATCTAGTTAATTTATGTAAACAAAACTATGAGAAGAAAATCATTACTTGTTTGACTTCGTGGACTGGAATGTTCATCTTTTTTTTTTTTGATAATATTTTGATAGTGATACACTTGACATTAATTTTGTATGACTGAACTAGTCAAATCATGCATTTAGGAAACCATTAAGGTAGTTATCATGCCCCAATAATTTGTTTATTCTTCAAGAATTGAATCTGCTGAGAATTATGAAGTCATACCATATGTATTACAAATGGAAATTTCAAAATATTTTATTCTTTTAAGTAATTTGGGAACTAAACAAATTAAAAAGTTCCCTTTGCAGCAGTTAGTTTGTTTAATGACTATACATCAAGGATTGAAAATGAAACTGAACTTGGAAATATAAACGTTTTCTGAAGGGTACTGTCTTGATATAATGACATTTGAATGAGTACAGATTTATCGATGTTTCGGAGGGAAATACTGCCTCCATCTTCTGGGTCAAAGGATCAGCTAAGCAAGAAGCCAGCAAGAGTCAGGCTCCAAGCAGAGCTGAAATATTGATGAACTTCTAAATTACTTGATACACCCCAGAATATAATACTTGTAGTAATCATCACTGTGAGAACCTCAAACCCAATGAGCTTTGGGGTTCATCATTATTACATTCTTAAAGCTACAGGAGAAATGTACCTTAAGAAAAAGAATGTGTTCCTTTCCTTAGTACATGTTTTCATGTTTTCATTTTTCGTTTTAAGCGTGAAGAGTACTGTCTTCTGGGATATAACACTGAAAGTCACTGGAAAGTTCACAGGAACATATCACCTCAATTGTGAGAGTCAAAGAATAAGCCAAGCAAGAACTCAGCTAGCACATAGCTTTGCTTGCTGCCTGCTTCATGCTGTTTTTTTTTTTTTTTTTTTTTTGTNCTTATAGGGTATACAAATTACTATCCTTCCACAAGGGAAGAAAGCTACTGTAATTATGAACTTCAGCCATGTGATTGGAACAGAGTGGAGTAGAATTATTTTTCTCTAAAACAAAATAACACTACCCTTATAATTTGTTTTATGAATTGACTTTAAATTATATTGGTAAACAGAATATCTTTTCCAGCAAAGAAACGCTGGATCTACATTTTGGGAAACACTGATTACACGTTTCATAAAATTTTAATTATAAAATTTGGTGGGGATAGGGTTAATGTTAAGATATTTGGGGATGCTTATTAAATGTGAAGATTTGCATTATTTTCCTTTTGAAGTTGAGTAATATTGATATGGCTTCAGCACTGTAGTAATAGAAGTTCAGTGGAATAGCATATCTTTCTGTCTTGCATAGACAGATGTGTATCTTAAGCAAAAAAATATGTAAAACATATTCATGGCAATGTTATCTTTTAATATGTGGTAGTGTTGAAAGTTAATATGAAGATATTGCCAAGGCTGTTAATATAAAGAAAACAAGGAGATCATTTTTGTAATTTTAACTGTATTATTAAGTTAAAGAAAATATTTCTGTAAACAGGATAACTTCCTCTTCTTTCGAGTCAGTACTTCAGTGGCTCTCTACTGTATTACTGGTATGCCTTCCAGAATATGTTAGCATTATATTTGTGGAGCAAATTGCAGCTTGGATAATGTTGCCACAGTGATGTTTGTGATCCACCAAATGTTGGTCACAATAAGAAAACCCATATTATGTAATTGCCATTAGATTGTGGTTGATTTAGGATTTGGGCATTTTCCTGTATTTCCATATGATTTTAAATGTGTTTTCTCTCTGTTTCAAATATGTTAGTATGAGACATAAATTTAGCAGGAAAACTGAACTGTTCTAAGTAGTTTACTGAGAAGTAAATTATAACATGAAATATGAAGGTGAGAACTTGAAGTGGTAATTAATGTGAAATAGTGTTCCAGACTCTTTGAGGCCACTGGTTTACTAATTTTTACTTATTTATTATGTAATTGGAAAAATAATAGTATCCAATATCAGATTATATTCACTGTCCAGATACGTGTAACATGCAATATGTAATATGCAAAAGAAAAAACCAAAATAATGTGTGTGTATCCTGATTGAAGCTAAGTAGATTGCTTATATGTGGGCATACATATCAAAGAGTTAATTGTGGTTTGTGAACTAATACTCCTGTGCATTGCCATAAAAACTGATCTTGAGTTACACTGAAGTTTCCATTATCAGTTTTTACCGCTTATTTGTTTGTTGGCAGGCATGATGTGAACAGAAGGGAATTTTGTGTATTATGTATGTAACAAAACAATAGAATGGTACATTGTGTACAAGAAATTAAAAAAATTATAAAGTGCTGTTTTATTAAAAATCTCCACTTATCCCTGCAGGCTGGATTGGATTTTTAAAATGCTGCTTCTGACCCACATGCCATACTTTGCCCGCATTATAGTCTCCATGTATTTCATTAGATCTAATACCATCAATTCTTATGCATCCTTGACTGATCATAAACTTTTTATTTCTGCAAACTGAGTCTTTTATGTGTCTTCTTTACTCACCACAGTTCACTCCCATATAATAAATTAGAACTGAAATTGTTTTGTAGACTTCTAATTGCATTTATTTTCTGATTTAGCATTTTAAATTTCCTTTTATAGTTCTGTGTCTGTTTTGGAAACTGTGAAGGTTTGTATGTACATCATGTTGCTTTGTTCTAAAATACAGGCCAATTTAGAAAGACACAGTACATATGCCAAATTATATAGCATGTAAGACTGGAAGGAACATATGGAGAGGATGATCCTTAAACCTGTACTGTGGCAAGCATACTGTTACAATCCTACAGGATTGTATGCAGGATCTCACTAACACTGATCAAAAAAGAGGTGGAACAGTTCATTTAGCCTCAGACTTGGACTTTGGCCCAATTCTTATTGTGGAAGGAAGAGGAGAAGAAGAAGATGAAGAAAGTATGTTAGTTTGCACCCATCTACAAATAATTGAGAATTGACTGTGGTAAAAAAAATATTAATTTGGATTTCATGTTTGAATCCCAGGTATAGGTTAGTAGAGGCAATATAACTGAAATGTGTCTAACTTGGACAGTTATTTTCAGGTATATAATGTGTCTATTATATATCTTTCAAGGATGATATATGATTGTCATGTATATAAGTGCTGTGAAGAGAACATAGGTATTTGGAGTAAGTGAAAATATGGTAATTATAAAAAAGTATTATGATGCATGGAATTAAATATTAGAATTTACAGGCTATTTGTAATTTTTAATACAGAGGTGTTTGAGTCAGTAGGCAGGGAAGAATACAACTGCATGAAAGAGGATGTGCTTATACTTTAGGTCAAATAGAACTAAATCATGGAGGTTTTTTTAAGATATGTAACAGAATATGATAATCTGAGTGTGTATTGTTAGAACAAAAAATGGAAAAGATTAAATTGCATGCAGTATACATGAACCAGTTAACATTCAACACCTTCCAGCTTCACAAATGTTTTTTGTGGTGTTCTTTTATAATGTGTACTACAATGTCCCATTTATACAGTAGTTCCTCCAGCACATGAGTAAGCATGTCAGCAATGACTGTGGTAACAGCTGCGATAATCCTTGTTTGCAGTTCACCCAGGATTGATGATACAGGATGCCAATCTGCGTCATCCTTGCTGTAGCCCCGCAGGGAAAAGTCTGCTGCAGTCAAATCAGTGACTGTGGAGGCCAGGCAATTGAAAATCTCCCATTTTACTTCATGGTTGTTTTAATGTTACTCATGGCCAGGGGGACACTTCACCTCATGAATGAAAAACTTCCATTATTTGCCAGTACTCTGTGCTTTGTTCTATAGTTACAGTTCTACTTGTTTTGGAGATAAGATTATTCAAAGTGTGACATAATTTACAAAAATATTGTATTTAAAAATGAGTTAACCTTTTAATTTGATCAGTTGGTACTACTGTATTTATACTGGGCTGTTGTAAGGTCTTGAAAGAATCTGTGAAGTCTCAGTTGAACAACAACAGAGTGGAAAGGTTCATGCCTTATGTATGTGTAACATTCTCTAGGTTGAAAGTGAGGTTCATCATCATTCTCAGAAACAGATGAGCATGTGAAAGTATATATATGTATATATATTTAAAATAAAAACATGTAACTGTATTAAAACAAACTTAATTAAGCACCACACCATGAAGACATATGGGGGAGTGACCTCAGTGTTAGATGGAGGTGAATGGTCAGCTTCATATCCTGATCACTTTATCTCCAAGGAAAGATACATACATACATATACATTTGCGTTTCAGATTATTCACAAATGTGCACAGGCACAACTGGTATCCAATTGGTACACTGGTACCAATTGGATAGGAGGCTGTGTGGGTCCCAGAGCTGATCTGGATGCTGTGGAGAACAGAAAAGATTTTGCATTTACCAGGAATCGAACCCCAGCTATCCAGCCATATCCTATCACTGTTCTGAGTCATCCCAGCTCCTGGATTAACAATTAAAAATGAAGTTAAATTTGACTTTCTCGTGATGATAACTGGGCCGTGGTTCCATGTAGTCTGGTTGAAGTTTTTGACATTTCAGAGGAATGTTATGACTTCATCTTCATGGTAAAATAATAAAACAAGGAGGCATTCTGCTTGCTGCATGCAGGTAATACTCCTTGACTCCAAAGATGGGAGCAGTGTGTGCCACAGAAATAGTAGAACCTTCAACCAGACTGCATGACACCACATCCTCAAGGTTGTTACAAATTGTGAAGTATCCGTACAGCTACAAAATATGGATTTTGTTGTAATGTATATAATTTTAATTTTAAATATTTTTGATATGAAGTATGTTTAATGAAGTTCAAGGAAAAAAATATTTCCTGCCCTCACATAAAGCAAAGGTTTTACTCATTTAATCTGAACTAAAATTGATTTTATGACA